GCAAGATGACAATCAAGCTCAGACTGCTAACTTCTCCCCATATCAAACCTGGAAGACTATAAAAGGAAGGGGAGAAGGGGAATCAACAACAAAATATAACAGGAGAAAGTCCTTCGGAAGAATGGGGAGTAGTGAGTTGGTGCCTGTGTCTGGGCTTGGGGTGTGAAGAGCAGCAGGGACATGAGGAGGTGCTACAGGCTGCATAGATGCAAATGACAGGATGGGTATGAGAAATGATTTTAAACTTCTGCCCCTACATCTTGGCACAAATCTGAGGCAGGTTCTCACAGCACACATGCCAGTAGTCCTGGAGTAACATCAAGACAGAGGGAGAAGATGGATGGTTGAGGCATTTGAGTCCAGAGTTTGTGCTAATAACCATCTGAAATCATCGTAGCAGGGAGGAATGCCCTTTCCAGAAATTATTATGTTAATAGAATATAAAGAACAGACTAGAGAGTATCAAAGCAAATCACATGTAGTAAGAGAAGTTAGTCTTCATCAAGTAAGTATAGTCTCCACACACACGCACACACATATACACACACTTCTATAAATATATAACATAGAGGCACGCATATATATGTATGTATATATATGTATATGTATAAAGTACACACACTAGGTAGAGTTGGACAATGTATTTCTTACTGTGGATGAGCATAACAAAGGAAAACTCACTGCACTGAACCCTGCAATATTAGATAACCATAAAATCGTAAGATCATCCCCCAAAACCCTTGGAGCTCCTCAACCTCTTCAGTAAATAAAATCTTGAACATAATATTTCTGAAGTCTGGCTGCTGGCAAAGGGACCGCATGGGAAGGAGTGCATCTTCTCTGACCCTGTCCCAGGGTTAGAGGCACTACAGCTCCATTTCAAGCATCTGTCCTGCAACTCCAAGTGTCCCCAAGTGTTGATGAGAGCCACCTGAGTGAGAACAGAAGATGGCACATGGCTCAGAATACTGGGAGCCACTGAACCCAGCTGTGCCCTTGTTGGCACCCCTGAGAGACCTCGGGCCAGAGCAAAAGACTGGGCATGAAATTCACAAACCTTCCTTCATGTCTTCAGGAAAGATAAGGAGTAAGAGCCTAGGTCTGAGGCTCTGGCCCAACGGTGCCAAAGTAAAAGTAAGGCTCTGACCCAAAGGTGAAGATCCCAGTGAGGACAGAAGGACCCCCATGCCAGCACCCAAAACCCATCTCCGCAAGATACTATTGGCGCGGGGGAACCTCTAGCCACAAGATCAGATGTGGCATCCACCAACGTCTGCCCAGCAGGCAGGGGTGACAGAGGTGGGGGCCTGAGTGTGGGAGGGCCGATTAGGGTAGGCCCAGGGAAGGGGCCCAGACCCGGCAGCCAGGAGTGCACGTAGGCCCGTGAGGGAGCACGGCGGGCCCCCTACCCTGGAATCCAGGTCAACTCTGCCGGCAGCCGGGAGAGACCCCGGCAGGGTCGTCAGGAGGAGTCCCTCCCCCAGGGGGGCAAAGAGCGATGGATTCGGAGCCCCAGAGGGTCGGACCCAGGCTCTTCCTGGAGCAGATGTTGGGACCTGAGGGACAACGGTGGGGCCCACCCCGCCCCGGGGAGAGGCCATCAGCCCCTGTTGCAGCCCCTGAGTATCTGGAGAGGGTGGCCGCAGGCTGCGTCCACTCAACTGCGCCTCAGAGGTCCAAGGGAGCTGAGGAGCTTGGGGTGAGGGGCAGGATCCCAGGTCAGGTAAGGGCAGGGGCACGGGTAGGGCCAGGGAGTCCAGGTTGGGGGCAGTGGGAGGATCACGGGACTCAGGACGTCAGGACACACAGAGGAGACCTTCCTGAGTTGGATCCCTCACATCTTTCTCAGAAGGGCCAAGGGCAGGATGGGGACTCACAGGGGTGAGGAGGGTCAGACTTCCACAGCCAGGTCTCAGAGACACCAGAGGGGGTCGGGGCTGGGTCGGGCCTGGTCGACAGAGGGAAGGGCTAGTGTCCTGTGGAAATTCCTGGTGATGATGCAGAGGGAGGACGGAGGAGCCTGGACCCCACAACAGTCAGTTCGAGCAGGCCCATGGCCGGGATGGGGACACTGGGCAAAACTGGATTCATGCATCCTAGTCTCAGATATGCGGGGCTTCAGAGTCGGGGGCAGGGGTGGGGGGCGTTTCGGGGGTGGGGAGGACCAGGGACCCGCTGTCTATCAGGAGCAGTCGCTTAGGTGGGCAGAGGGGAGGAGGGCCCAGGTGATGTTAGGAGACAAGGCCCACCCCAGTGCCGAGTAAGGAAGTCAGTCTGTGACACAAGCCCGGGAGCCCCTGCGTCGGGTGGCCAGAGGTAGCAGGAGTCCCATCATTGTGCC